GAGCAAACACTCATAGAAAACAGAACCGAAAGGTAATGGATCATAAAACCTCACCCTGAGCACTGATTTTATGGAAGAGGCACTGCTCCAAGACCTGTCCAAGCTCCATTCCTCTCCAGGTGCTATCCGGATCTAACCCCTCTCCTTGCAGCCACAGGACAGCCAGGTTCAAACCCTTCTTTGCTCTGTGTGCTGTGAGTTTACAGATCCCACTGTGTTTTTCCAGGTATTTCCACTGTGCTTTGCTCAATCTCCTCAAAAAGAAATTTCCACGCAGTTGCAGCCTCTCTGCTAGCAGTGAATAAGAACAGAGCATACTCATTTCCAGTGTTTTCTCACAGTGCCGAGGGACTTAAGCTTTCCAGGACCAGGTGATTTTCTGCCTCCAGCAAAAGGGGTATTTGGTTGGATACCTGGGGACTTCTTGCAAGGCAATGGGAAGCCCCAGGGAAGGAGGATTGGCTTGATGAGAGCGGTTTTCACCCTGCTGGGATGTCAGCCGTGTACCAAGGTCAGGAGAAGGAAAAGCAGAGGGAGGTAAATCGTGGACGGCAGCCAAAGGGGAGTTGGGGCATGGCAGAGACAGCAGGAGCAGATTAAGGGGAGGGAGTTGGGAGAGGTCCTAGATGCAGCAGTGAAGAATCATGCCCTTTCTGCAGTCACTGTTTTCACTTTTTCCCCCTTTTTTTTTGTGGCGATGGAGGATGTGTGCGTGCGCGTGTATATCTAAGAGTGCCCTCCATTGGCCAGACCCAGTCTGCTGCACCGAGATCCCCGTGTCACCAGCGCAACGGAGGAAGGTGGTGGATGCACAAGCCGGGAGGATGCAGGTCCCGCATGGGAGGACTCTTTGCAATGCACAGGAGGGCACGTTGCAGCACTGCCTGCGTTCCATGGGCTCCTCCTACTTGTGCAGAGCTGAAATCCCTGTGCTGTGACGTTGGGCACAGCAATTCGGAGGCATCCATCTGGAAGGTGGTGGGATGGGGTGAATCCGCATTTGGGGCTATTCAGATAAAGGGTGACGGCAGCTGTAGGCAGTCAGGAGCTATCTTCCTGCAGTAATGGTAAACTAAGATGATCCAGGCTGGAGTTTTCCACCACCCTCATGTTCCTGCTTACTTTCTGCATGCATCTGTATGCCCCATGCACACCCCATACCCATCCTAGGGATGCAGGCAGCGTGGGATGTGTGTGAACAGGGAAGGATTAGAGCATCTTGTCCCTGCAACAAACAGCTCACTATGACTAGCAGGGTCCAAAGTTCACTGGAACCAGTGCAAAGCAGATGCCTGAAGCCCTTGGGCAGCCCAGGTAACAGATGAAATGTGATTCAGTCCCTGCTTGGTTTTGTTTAAGCTGTGAAGGTCTGACTTGGGTTGCGTTTCTGAACCGTGCCTGCACCAATGGCTGTTGGGGTGGGATGGCAAAGAGTCAGCAAGAAGGTAGAAAAGATTGCCAAGTCTCTTCTCAGTAGTATGAGGGTGCAGGAGCCAAGCCACAGGTTCACATCTCCATAACCCTCTGCTTCCTCATCTCTAACTCCTGCACAAGGTAACCAAGGCGGAGGGGCCATTGGAACTCAACTTGTCAGCCTTTTCCTGTTAGTTGCTTGGGATGAACAACTGTCTTCTGCAGACAAAGATCATTTCTGCCCTTGGTTTGTCCTTGTGGAATGCAGGCAAGAGACAGCTCAAAGTAATCCCTGATTACCTGTTGTACCCAAGCTTTGCTCCAGACCAGGCACAGGACTGGAAGGAAGGGTTGTGGTATGTCCCCCCAAGTTGGAGCCAAGGGATGCGATGTCTCCCATCACACAAATTAACAGGAATAGCCCTGCTCCCTAGCCACCACCTGAGGCAGCAACCATGGGAATATGGGCAAATCTGCTTGTGTGCCATAGGAATGTGGTCTCCCACACATTTCATGCATTTAGTATCACTTCCCCAGCTGCAGGCTGGAGCCTCTGGTATAAATCCCCCTCGGGATTTTCCTGGATTACAGGGTACAAGATGGATCTCTCTGCTGAGCTGCAGCAGCCGCTCAACTGCCCATTGCATCTTCCCTTCCCTGCCAGGCCCGACACGTGTGAGTCCCAAGATCCAGGTGCAGAGGGGATTTTGCCTATTCACGTATTCTGCTCTATTCCCACTTCACAAAGAATGAGCTGAAGGAGGAAAACTATGGTTATGTTCCTTATGATGAAACATTCCAGATGGGATTGCGTTCAGGGGAAATCAATTCCGAGACCTAACAACCAGAACACAGCGTCCCATTAGTGGGTCTCTTTAGTTAAAGTTTGTTGGCTTTTACAGTGCTTTTCCCAGGGAAGGGGCAGTGAAGGGGGATGCTTTGTGCTCGCTGCATCCTCATTCAACAGCAGGTCTGTGGCCAGCGTGAGAAAAACGGGGATTGTGGAGAGCTTGAGGCTTGGGCTGAATCCCATGCACTGAAGTCACCGTTAGGGACTGGATCTCAGTGTAAAGCCTGTCTCCTAATCAGCTCGTTGCTATGGAGGCACTGCTGGCTCCTGCTTCCAGCTGGGAAAGACAGGTTTCCTCATGGGCTGGACCAGAGGTTAAGATGGTCCCTGGCTGGCTTATCAATAGAAAGGTTGGATAGACTTTGGCTTTGCAAAGGTTGCGCCTGCTTACAAACAACACAGAGCTGCTCCAGCACTGCCCTACAGTGAGGGAGAGGCAAACCAGTAGTCCCTTTCAGAGCTAAGCAAGCACATTTCACTAACCAAAGCAGATATTTAAGGCATCCACAGTCATTTACAGGCGAACCCCTCCTGCTAATCAGAATGACCACTCTGGAAACTCATAGGATGCTTGGTTGATGCCTGATGCATCCCCAAAGCAGGCTGTATCCCTGAAATCCGGCCCCGCAGGCAGGCAGGAATCTGGCATAGGAACATGAGCACTGCAGAGCTTTGCAGGCTGCAAACCACTGTCAGGAGTGGGGAACCTGACTCCTGAAAAATTTAAGTGCAGATGCATTTGGACTCCGTGCTGATTAGCGTCAGGTCCAACAGACACTCAGGGATCCGCTGGCAGAGGCTGCAGTGATTTGAGCCTGGGATGAAACAGGGTTTGCAAATAGCAGGTCTGGCTCTCGAGTTGCCTAACCCCCTCTTCCTCAGGAAAGAAAGGCTTTTGCAGACAAGAGGAGATGCAGAGACCAAACTTTGATGTGAAGAGAAACCAATGGGTGAATGTGGAGATGTGCTTGACTTCTTGTCTTTTCCCAGGCACACAGCATGGTCTATGGGCTTCATTTCCTGGTTTTCACTCTCTCCTGGGACTGGGTTTAGCTGCCTGGATTTGCTGGTTATTCATACAGCTGCTGTGAAAGCTTCCTCTGTTTGCAGTCTTCGTAAGCAGAGCTTGGCTGGGGTGGGAGACAGCAGGACTGGTGATGGGAGATGTGAACGCCATGGGGCTGTGCTGAGGGTGAATTGCTGCAATGAAGATGTTTTTCCTCCTTCCGTGCAGCAGGTGCCCCTCTTTATGGATTTTTACCCTAATTTCAGTGCCACTGTGCTCCCTAATCATGGAGAAACACGTTTCATATGATCTGAATTGCTTTGGGGTTGCAGCCCAGGTCAGTGTCAGTGTCTCAGGAGTTGGGCTGCTTGCACTCAGGTTTCAATGCAGAGTCTCTTTACTAACCTGTGGACCACGGAAAGTCCTGAAATCAAAGCAGTAGTCTGATTTGATAGGGGAAACCTTCCCAGGGGTCTGATCTGTCTTATTGAAATAGGGCAGCAGCTCTAGTTTGGAGGCAGCAAAAGCTGCAGGGCCAGGGCAAGCCTCACCCAAGGGGAAACTCCTGATTTCCTCTACCTGGGATGAGCAGCGAAGGAAATGGCTGGGAAGGTAAGAAGGAAAAGGTGCCATGGGTGTATGTGGGAGCAGCTCTGCCCCATGCACTGAGGGTCTGCCCCTTCTGCTTCACAAGCAGCATTCCCTCCCCAAACATGGGGTGCATGCTGCATGGGGATGGGGTACAAAATGAAAAGAGTCCTGCTATTGACAGTGTTTTCCCCTCTTTCTCCTTCCCTGGAAAGAGGGGAGATGGAGGGAAGGGGGAACAGAAGTGGCTTGGAGGGGTAAGAAAGGGGTGCTTGTGAGAGCACAGAGGGAGTCTCTTTGGCATGGACAGGGCACGGGAGAGGGGATCTGGGCAATGCAGGATGGATCTTGCTTTTGCTTGAAGGGGCTTTGGAGGCTGAAGGAGTTCCTGGGGCTGGCAGGGAAGACTCTCACTCTAGAGATGTTCTATGCCCGCTACAGTACTGCAGGCTTTGGGGTGTCCTGCACACAGGGGTGAAAGGAAAGGTGGATGCCTGACGTGGGAAGGCCTAAAATCTGCTTTATCACCCTTTTTAAGTCCTGTACTGGTTGCATGGCTCCTGTCTGGGCTCAGGGTTAGACCAGGGTTTGGATACTGAACAATACCCTTCCCCTGCACTGGTTTTGTGGAAGGGGATAGAAGAGAGAGAAAAAGAAGGACAGAAAGAACTGAAACAACAGGGGCCAGCAGAAGGAAGAGAGGAAGCAGAGCCCAGCAGCTTCCCTCCTACCCTATCCAGGTTCATCCCGGCTCCATTGGGATGGAGAAGGTGGAATCTCCCTAAAAAAGAGATAAATGGTGTTTGCTTTGGGGAGGTGGTTTGAAATCATCGCGGATGCTCTGCTTAGCAGAGTGGTACTGCATGGCATAGGGCACTGGGAAAGCAGGGTTACAGCTATGTTGTGCATCACTGTTAGTCCCTCCTGGGAATGGGAACAACCTCAAACCTGAGACGGGGATGTGAGGCTGCACCTTCTGCCATTGAGATGTGCTGGGGCTGGGGATGCTGTTTGGATTATCAGCCTCGCAAAGGGTTAAAAAAAAAAACACCCAAACAAACCACAAGAGAAAAAAAAAAAGACCAAATCCCAAATTTCTTCTCTTTCTCTCTCTCCTCCTTCCCTTCCCTTTTGTTTTTCCAGGTGTTGCTTATGGCCACAGGAGGGAGCTCAAATCCAGACATGGGAGTATTGGCTTGATTTCAGATCCAGAGCCTCTTAAACTCTCGCTTTTCCTCTAAGCTGGTCCCTGTTATGTCCAGGATCTGGCGCCTGCTTGACATTTACTTTGAGTTCCAGAGGACCAGAGACCTAGGATGAGGAGCATTGGATCTGCCCTGAACCTGCTTTTGGTATCGCCACTCTACTTTGTGTGGACCGTGGTCGCTCTGGACCTGGCACAAACTCCCTGCACCACTTTGGTCCAAGGGAAATTCTTTGGGTATTTCTCCTCCTTTGCCGTCTTCCCATTGAACTCCTCTCTCTGCTCTTGGATTATCCAGAACCCTGACCCTCGGAGGTACACTTTGTACATGAAGATCCTAAAACCCGCCGGCATATGTGACCACCAGCACATCCGCACCTACCAGTTTGACTCCTTCCTGGAGTCCACCCGCACCTACCTGGGCATGGAGAGCTTTGACGATGTGTTGAAGCTCTGCGATGGGTCCACCCGCTTTGCCTTCCTCCAGTCCAACAAGCAGTTCCTCCAGATGAAGCAGACAGCACCACCGGGCGTGGAGACCTGGCCCATGCGGTGGAAGCCCACAAAGGCTCAGGAGAGGGACTTCTCAGTGGAGTACCTCGTGGTGGGCAACAGGAACCCTAGCAAAGCCGCTTGCCAGATGCTCTGCAAGTGGCTGGATGCGTGCTTGGCCATCAGCAGCAGCTCCCATCCGTGCGGCATTATGCAGACCCCATGCTCTTGCTCAGGAGGGGAGGTCCTGGATCAGGCCAGCGAGATCATTGGCATCACGAGGAAGAAGGAAGATTGTTATAAGGATGGGATTTACTTGGAGAACTGCATGAGCAGCCCTAAAGACAGCAGCGGAGCGGAGTTTTTGGGTGAGTGGAGGGTGATAAGGGGAGTTTGGGAAGGAGTGAGGGCTGGTCGGGTTCTCCTCTCCTGGGTATCACACTGTCCCCATCACCTTTGTGTCTGACTATGTGGATGACTGGTATGAAAACCTTATTTCCTCGTTGATAGGCAGGTCTGGTCACCTTTGGTGGCTCTTTATGAGCCTTTACATGGAATTGCAAAGCAGGTTCCCCCTAAATACACCCCAAATAGTTTCATTCATTCATTGTGCCTTGCTTGTACTTCTGCTGCCTCAGAGATGCTGAGGGGAGATTCTTACCTGAGGGTGAGCAGTCTTCCAAAGTAATCACAGATGTCCTAGAAAAGGCAGGATCCAAGCTACCTCCTGGGGCAGGCTGCACTCAGCAGCCTTATCAACCATTTTAACTCATGGGAAAAAGTTGATTCCTGGGTCTGGACTGAGGGAACAGCAACAGAAGGAATACTCAGCTTGTTCTTAGCCTTATTTTCCTTCTGGAGGCTTTCAGACAGAGTATTTGCCATGCTGCTTCTATGGGGTTATTTGGGGCTCATTCCTCAGATGTTTCCATCAATGTTTTAATGGTGATCTTGAGTACGGTATAGGCTAGAAACGGATTAGGGAGGTGGAAGGGGGATGAAAAGAAGGGCTATGAATAAGGGTGAGATGCTCTTGAGATCTGATCTGGGCACTGTTTTGAGGAGGAAATGGTCATTCCAGAGATCCAACATGTCTTCATCGGTGCTACAGTGTGATGTAAAGCAGAAAGGAATCGGGTGGTCCAAAAGTGAACCCTTTATAACAGTGAAGTGTCAGATCCGCTCTGATGTGTTTATTCTCAGCTCTCATCCCACCTGCCAGCATGTAGGTTATGTAAAGCGGAGGTGTGATGCTAAATAGGAATCTGGGAGGCAGGGAAGGGAGCCTCCAGTTTGGCAGGGTTCAGGATCACACCTAACCCTCACCCCAGGGTCTCATCATCTTCATGGGCTGGACCAACATGTCCTCTGCCACCAGGAGAAAGTTGGTATCCATCTGGGTCTGGACTCTGGGGCTCCTGCATGGCTTTTACAGCCACCCCCAGCAAGGAGGGAATTGCTCAAGGCAAGAGAAGAAGGCTATATTTGCTTGCAGTGGAAAGAAGGTTACCAGGCACAGCTCCAAGCTGTGCAGCATGGTTTTCTTACAGACCGCAGCCTGGCATTAGCAGAGAGATTAATCTATGATCAGGTACTAGTGCTTTCCTCAGTGTATTTGGGGGGAGAGATTTTGCTTCTCACTGATCTGTGAATCAATACGTGAAGGCACAGAGCCGAGCCATAAATCCTGCATATTCCCTCTCCACATTCCGGATTCCTTTTGCAATGCCCTTTACTCGTGTGTGAACAGCTTGTGAGGAGCACGGTGCTGCCTCCTCGCAATGATGTGAGCTTCGTGAAGTCATTTGGCTTGGGTTGGCTCATTGGGTGATTTCTTCAACGTGACCTTTCCCATCACAACCAAAGGTGAAATTTGAAATGAGATTTTGGGCAAATCCTGAAGCATTCGAGCTTAATATTGGCTTTTGTAAAGATCTTTTCTCATCCAACTCAAGTGCTTGCATGTTCCCAGAACACAAATATGAAAGAGGCTCAGTGGTGGCTGAGTCAAAATCCTTTTTGGGTCTCAAATATTTGTAGATTTTTTTTGCTGGCTGCTCACATCTGCTCCATATTGAAGATACAGAATTATCAGCCTCACTGGTGGGATGCCATCCACATAGAAACGATGCTTGCAGAGTGCCCAGCCTCTCCATGTGCTGCTCTGTCTGTCACTGTGTCTGTTTTGATTCTTGCAAAGGCTTCATCAGGAAGATGGAGGCGAGATCCAATTTGGACAGAGAGCCAGCAATCCCGTAACAGCATTTTGTGGGTGGAATATTTTGATAGGGTTCCCAATTTCCAAGTGCTGATGCTGGTTGTTGCTGTCATTGTTGTCTTGATTGTATTTGTAGCATGTTTTTTTCTCCCCTGAAAGCTTTTTTTTTTCTCCCCTTGCTTCTCTCTGAGTCATTTGTTGTTTCTGGGCCTTTCTTGACACTTCCATCTTCGAACAAATGTATATGTGTGTGTTATGCTAATCCAGCCTGATGAGTTTAAAGCACGTAAGGAACTGCCAGATACCAAGACACCATCCCGAAATGTGGCGCCTGACTTTTCCTGATGTCTCTTTCCTGTATCTTGGATATTTCTGTATCATATAGATGGGTGAAAATCTACAGATCTACCTTGGAAGCAGCTGCGCTTTGGCTCACAGTCTGTGGGTGAGATCCCTTTGAGAAGGTTAAATCCCCATCCTTGCCCGCTGGTGTACCAAAGGGTGGAGAATGCATGTGTCTGGCTGCGTGCTAGATTAGGTGGTGTCTGAAGGCACTCCAGAGCAGGCTGAGAATAGATCTGTTGGGCTGGACATTGGCTTTGGTGGCTGAAGAGCAGAGATGGAAGATGAACTTCTACCAACCAAGACCGTATCTTGGTCGCGGCTGGAAGTAGGAGCATGACCCTTAGCTCTAGAGCTCCTGGTACTCTCAAGAAACAGCGTGATTTCATGCATAACCAATAAGTTTAGACTTGGTTCAGGTAAACAAGGGATGTTTGTGGTCATTTAAGAGTGACTTCACAAAGTAACTCTGCTGAAGTGACCCTGCCTTGTCTGCAGCATCTGTTTTTCAATGTCTGGAGGTAGGAGAGACCACTCCAAACTGCTTCCTGGTTTAGTGAGACACCCTTTTTGCACTTGCTGTCCCACGCAGACGTTGTAGAGGTTACATAGGACGGTGGTGGGAAGAATCTGTTAGGGTGCAGAGGCGGCAGGAGATATTTCTGTGTCTTGCTGCACATGGAGCTTGTCCTGGTGATCAGCAAGACGTGCTTGGAAACGTATTGGCAACAGCAGCCATATCTCCCTATATCTCCCTTCCTTGCTGTAGCTTCCAACAAGTGCTACTCCAGGAAGGCTTGAACAGGGAATCTCTTTTCTAGGAGGAGACAATTCAACAGGGGAACTATTTTTCACCAGCATGAGTTGTCCCTTGGATGACTCAGGCAACATAGGAAGAAGGCAGAAGACTGGTTGTAGATACCGATGTTTAAAGGTGAACTCTCTCATGCGAATGCAAGTTGGCATCCCTGGAATAGACCCCCACACTGGTTTGTGGTAGGAGATCAGTGGGTTGAAACAGGAAAGCTTCCTGAAACATGGAGACTCCATGGGCTGAAAATCCTGGTGACCCTCCAAAATGTGAGCTGGCTTCACTGTAATCAGAGCTGGAGCCTTGCTGATGTGACACTGTAATGAGAGAAGGTTAAGTGTCTGCTTAAGTGCTGTGCTGAGTTAGGCACTTGATGAATGTCGAATTAGTCTTGTCTCCATGTAATCTGTTCCTGGAAGGCCATTGAAGTGCTGCCACGTGTTGGTGGCCCAAAGAAATAACTGGCTTTCTCTGGTCCTTCTGTTCTTTATGACCCCATCCTGGAAGGATCCAACATGCTGACTGTAAAACAGGGTTAAATGTGTGCCCCCGGAATATATTTGCTCCTTGGTAATGTAGATGCCTTCAGAGCTGGAGGGATCCTTGTGTCAAACGAATCCGGTTTCCTGTCTTGGCCAGAGAATTTACTGAATTCATTCCAGCAAAGAACTTGAAACTGGGATGTAAATGGAATTTCTTAGTTCTCAACTAAAGCCTGAATCAAGATATTGCTGGTGTGAAGTGCCAGGGATTTTCCTGCCTCTTCTGCTAAACTTTTCCATTCATTTGCTGTCCTCATTGCTCTGAGCAAATACAGACCTTCCTTCCTCATACATGCTCATCACTTCACTTCTATTTTGTTAGTGGTGTTTCACCTTTCAGCCCTTAGATGTTTTTCTACCTCTGTATGCTAGATTAAGAGGTCATATAGCACCCGTTCTCTCCTGTTTGAAGAAGCATTTATAGACACATGAGCAAGTTGCTGCTTAACCTCTGCTGCATTAAGTAGTCTGAACTCCACAAATGCCTCCCTGCAGGACCCGTCCTCCAAAACTCAGTTGTTGTTGGGAAACTTTGCCTCGTGCTTGGCCTGTTCTGCAGCTCAGAACATGATGTCTCCTCAGCAGGGCTGAGCTTCTGCATGGCCCTATGGCTGAGCGACTTCTGAAGAGGGTCTGTGGTGTGGAAGAGCAGTCAGAGACGTAGGGATAAATGAATGAATTGCCATCCTCCCTGCTGCAGCAATCAAGTTCTGTGGCACAGTGCTCCTCCCCTTGACCCTTCCCCAAGGGCAAGAATAATATGATAAGTGATTTCCTATGTTTCTGGTGAGTTTAGTGACCATCAAAGCTCAGAGACTGATAGAGAGTTGTTAGTAATTGCCCAGGATCAGGCTCTCAAACCTCTCTTTGACATCTTCAGCTCGTTCTTAGCCTTCAGCTCCTTCTTACAACACAGTGTACAACACTTTACTCTTCCAACTAGAGTCCCCCAGGCCCAAACAACAGCTGAGCTTGCAGAGGAAGGTGTTTGGCTTTAGATTTGCCTCCGTTTTGGGTTTGCGAGCCAAATGGCCAAGGGATTTGGATGGATGAGCTTTCATTGCCTCTCCTCCTCCTGGCAGGGACTTGCTGAGTGTGCTCGGGGAAGGTGTGCTCCTTTCCAGCTCCTCGCTTCTCCATCTGTGTTTGCCCTTGCTGTCTAGTCTGTGCATCCCTGAGTGCAGAGCTTGGATACAGTGCAAGACCACCAGAGAAACATGGGACAAGGAAGGGTTGAGTTTTGTTCATGTGTTAAATTTCCCTGTTCTAACCCCAAAAAGCATTGTGGATTTTGTCTGAATCTCCCCAGCCTAAGCCCACAGCTCATCAACTGTAAGCAGGAGCTGATACCAGTTCACAGCTTCTAGAGGAGGAGGTTGAACAGAGCCTGGCACTTTGCAAGCAGATCACCTTGTCTCCTGCAGTGAATCCCCGCTGGACCTATATGAGGGTGTC